AGCACCCTCTCACACACCCCACCAGCACCATGACACTCTCACATACACCACCATTACCACCACCACGACCCTCTAACGCACACCACCCCCACCACCACCAGCACCCTCTCACACACACCACCACAGCCACCAGCACCCTCTCACACACCACCGCCACCCCCTGACACACACCACCGCCACCCCCCTGACACACACCACCGCCACCCCCCTGACACACACCACCGCCACCCCCCTGACACACACCACCGCCAGCATCGCACCCACCCTCTCACACACACCACCGCCACCACCAGCACCACCATCTAACCATAGCCAAAGTGCACTCGGCACCATCCTCGGCACCATCCTCGGCACCATCCTCGGCACCATCCTCGGCACCATCCTCGGCACCATCCTCGGCACCATCCTCGGCACCATCCTCGGCACCATCCTCGGCACCATCCTCGGCACCATCCATCGTGGGAGCTCCTTTCGCTGCATCTTGTCAGCATCATCCACCAGACGAGCGCCGCTTTCTGTTTCTCCAGCAATGTCTGTTGGCAGACTGCTCTCTTCAGCACCGCCCGTCATGGGAGCAACCCTCTCCAGTGCCTTCACCAGTGTCGCCTGTCACAGGAGCGCCCTCTCCATTGGCATCTCCACCATCATCCTCCACGGCAGTACCCGCTCCATTTTCCTCTCAAGCTACGTCTGCAGACGTGTCCAATGCTTGTGCTTTTCCAGCGTCGCCTGTGGTGGTTCGCTGTCTTTTTAGGCTTCTCCAGTGTCATCCTTCATGGGAGCACCCTCTTGATTGCCCTCTTCAGCATTCTCCATCGTGTGATCGCCCTCTCCGTTGCCATCTCCAGCGCCATGCGTTGCAGGCGCACTCTCTTGGTTGAGCTCTCCAGCACCATGTGTCATGGTTGCTCTGTCTTCATTGCCTTCCCTTCGAGTGTGCACCGTTCCTGGCACCACCCTTTGCGTCGTTCTTCTGGTGAGCACCGCCTCTAGCATAGTCCTTACTATGAGCAGCACCTTCTGTAGTGTTGCTAGCATCGTGTATGTGGTGAGCACCGTCTCCAGCACCACCTCTGCTTTAATCTTTATGAATAGCGCTTCCTGGAGCACTGCCTCTGGCATCGTCCATTCGCAAAGGGCCTTCTCCAACAACATCTACAGCACCATCCGTTGGGGGAGCTCCTTTTTGTGCAGCTTGTCAGCATCATCCACCAGATGAGCACTGCTTTCTGTTTCGCTAGCACTGTCCCTAGGCAGACTGCCCTTTCCAGCATCACCTGTCCCGGGAGAAAGCGTCTCCAGCATAGCCCATCGTGAGACCAACCTCTCAGTTGCCCTTTATAGCATCTTCTCTCATGGGAGAGCACTCTCGTTCGGATTCTCCAATTTCATCCATCATTCGCGCACCCTTTTCTTTCTGCTTATCCAGCAGCCACATTCATGGGAGCACCCCCACCTTACGCTTCTCCTTTGTCGCCTGTCGTGGGAGCAGAGCCTCATGCTACTTTTTCAGCTTCCTCTGCCATTGAAAGACCACATCCTGCTGCTTCCTCAGCTTTGTTCACAGGGAACATTATGCGCCGCCCTGCTTCAGCAGCACTGCCTGTCTCAGGTGCCCTATCACTTACACTGTACTTCCGGAGTACGCCCTGTCAGGCACCGCCTCTAGCATCGTCGTTCTGATCTGTGCCATCTCCTGCACTACCTCTTGCCTTGTCCTTCCGGTGAGCACCGTCTACGGTTTTGCCTTCAGCATTATCCTTCCAGTGAGCACCATCTCCGGTGCCGCCCCTTGCTTTGTCCTCCTGGTAAGCGCCATCAGCAGAGCCACCAGTCCCAGAAGCGCTCAGGGCAGCGTGGATTGTTGCGGGAGCGCTGTTTATGGCCTCACGTGTGGCATCGTCCTTGTGGATGGTGCAATCTCCTGTGCTACCTGTGACATTGTCCTTCTGGCGAGCCATCTCCAGCACCGCCTCTTGCACTGTCCTGACTGTGAGCAGCATCTTTTGTCGTGCCACTGGCACTGTCTATCTGGAGAGCACCATCTCCTGCACCGCTTCTGTTTAACCGTTCTGATTATCGCTTTTGGCAATGCCTCCTCTGGCATAGTCCATTGCCTAAGTGCACTCGGCACCATCCTCGGCACCATCCTCGGCACCATCCTCGGCACCATCCTCGGCACCATCCTCGGCACCATCCTCGGCACCATCCTCGGCACCATCCTCGGCACCATCCTCGGCACCATCCATCGTGGGAGCTCCTTTCGCTGCATCTTGTCAGCATCATCCACCAGACGAGCGCCGCTTTCTGTTTCTCCAGCAATGTCTGTTGGCAGACTGCTCTCTTCAGCACCGCCCGTCATGGGAGCAACCCTCTCCAGTGCCTTCACCAGTGTCGCCTGTCACAGGAGCGCCCTCTCCATTGGCATCTCCACCATCATCCTCCACGGCAGTACCCGCTCCATTTTCCTCTCAAGCTACGTCTACAGACGTGTCCAATGCTTGTGCTTTTCCAGCGTCGCCTGTGGTGGTTCGCTGTCTTTTTAGGCTTCTCCAGTGTCATCCTTCATGGGAGCACCCTCTTGATTGCCCTCTTCAGCATTCTCCATCGTGTGATCGCCCTCTCCGTTGCCATCTCCAGCGCCATGCGTTGCAGGCGCACTCTCTTGGTTGAGCTCTCCAGCACCATGTGTCATGGTTGCTCTGTCTTCATTGCCTTCCCTTCGAGTGTGCACCGTTCCTGGCACCACCCTTTGCGTCGTTCTTCTGGTGAGCACCGCCTCTAGCATAGTCCTTACTATGAGCAGCACCTTCTGTAGTGTTGCTAGCATCGTGTATGTGGTGAGCACCGTCTCCAGCACCACCTCTGCTTTAATCTTTATGAATAGCGCTTCCTGGAGCACTGCCTCTGGCATCGTCCATTCGCAAAGGGCCTTCTCCAACAACATCTACAGCACCATCCGTTGGGGGAGCTCCTTTTTGTGCAGCTTGTCAGCATCATCCACCAGATGAGCACTGCTTTCTGTTTCGCTAGCACTGTCCCTAGGCAGACTGCCCTTTCCAGCATCACCTGTCCCGGGAGAAAGCGTCTCCAGCATAGCCCATCGTGAGACCAACCTCTCAGTTGCCCTTTATAGCATCTTCTCTCATGGGAGAGCACTCTCGTTCGGATTCTCCAATTTCATCCATCATTCGCGCACCCTTTTCTTTCTGCTTATCCAGCAGCCACATTCATGGGAGCACCCCCACCTTACGCTTCTCCTTTGTCGCCTGTCGTGGGAGCAGAGCCTCATGCTACTTTTTCAGCTTCCTCTGCCATTGAAAGACCACATCCTGCTGCTTCCTCAGCTTTGTTCACAGGGAACATTATGCGCCGCCCTGCTTCAGCAGCACTGCCTGTCTCAGGTGCCCTATCACTTACACTGTACTTCCGGAGTACGCCCTGTCAGGCACCGCCTCTAGCATCGTCGTTCTGATCTGTGCCATCTCCTGCACTACCTCTTGCCTTGTCCTTCCGGTGAGCACCGTCTACGGTTTTGCCTTCAGCATTATCCTTCCAGTGAGCACCATCTCCGGTGCCGCCCCTTGCTTTGTCCTCCTGGTAAGCGCCATCAGCAGAGCCACCAGTCCCAGAAGCGCTCAGGGCAGCGTGGATTGTTGCGGGAGCGCTGTTTATGGCCTCACGTGTGGCATCGTCCTTGTGGATAGTGCAATCTCCTGTGCTACCTGTGACATTGTCCTTCTGGCGAGCCATCTCCAGCACCGCCTCTTGCACTGTCCTGACTGTGAGCAGCATCTTTTGTCGTGCCACTGGCACTGTCTATCTGGAGAGCACCATCTCCTGCACCGCTTCTGTTTAACCGTTCTGATTATCGCTTTTGGCAATGCCTCCTCTGGCATAGTCCATTGCCTAAGTGCACTCGGCACCATCCTCGGCACCATCCTCGGCACCATCCTCGGCACCATCCTCGGCACCATCCTCGGCACCATCCTCGGCACCATCGTGGGAGCTCCTTTCGCTGCATCTTGTCAGCATCATCCACCAGACGAGCGCCGCTTTCTGTTTCTCCAGCAATGTCTGTTGGCAGACTGCTCTCTTCAGCACCGCCCGTCATGGGAGCAACCCTCTCCAGTGCCTTCACCAGTGTCGCCTGTCACAGGAGCGCCCTCTCCATTGGCATCTCCACCATCATCCTCCACGGCAGTACCCGCTCCATTTTCCTCTCAAGCTACGTCTACAGACGTGTCCAATGCTTGTGCTTTTCCAGCGTCGCCTGTGGTGGTTCGCTGTCTTTTTAGGCTTCTCCAGTGTCATCCTTCATGGGAGCACCCTCTTGATTGCCCTCTTCAGCATTCTCCATCGTGTGATCGCCCTCTCCGTTGCCATCTCCAGCGCCATGCGTTGCAGGCGCACTCTCTTGGTTGAGCTCTCCAGCACCATGTGTCATGGTTGCTCTGTCTTCATTGCCTTCCCTTCGAGTGTGCACCGTTCCTGGCACCACCCTTTGCGTCGTTCTTCTGGTGAGCACCGCCTCTAGCATAGTCCTTACTATGAGCAGCACCTTCTGTAGTGTTGCTAGCATCGTGTATGTGGTGAGCACCGTCTCCAGCACCACCTCTGCTTTAATCTTTATGAATAGCGCTTCCTGGAGCACTGCCTCTGGCATCGTCCATTCGCAAAGGGCCTTCTCCAACAACATCTACAGCACCATCCGTTGGGGGAGCTCCTTTTTGTGCAGCTTGTCAGCATCATCCACCAGATGAGCACTGCTTTCTGTTTCGCTAGCACTGTCCCTAGGCAGACTGCCCTTTCCAGCATCACCTGTCCCGGGAGAAAGCGTCTCCAGCATAGCCCATCGTGAGACCAACCTCTCAGTTGCCCTTTATAGCATCTTCTCTCATGGGAGAGCACTCTCGTTCGGATTCTCCAATTTCATCCATCATTCGCGCACCCTTTTCTTTCTGCTTATCCAGCAGCCACATTCATGGGAGCACCCCCACCTTACGCTTCTCCTTTGTCGCCTGTCGTGGGAGCAGAGCCTCATGCTACTTTTTCAGCTTCCTCTGCCATTGAAAGACCACATCCTGCTGCTTCCTCAGCTTTGTTCACAGGGAACATTATGCGCCGCCCTGCTTCAGCAGCACTGCCTGTCTCAGGTGCCCTATCACTTACACTGTACTTCCGGAGTACGCCCTGTCAGGCACCGCCTCTAGCATCGTCGTTCTGATCTGTGCCATCTCCTGCACTACCTCTTGCCTTGTCCTTCCGGTGAGCACCGTCTACGGTTTTGCCTTCAGCATTATCCTTCCAGTGAGCACCATCTCCGGTGCCGCCCCTTGCTTTGTCCTCCTGGTAAGCGCCATCAGCAGAGCCACCAGTCCCAGAAGCGCTCAGGGCAGCGTGGATTGTTGCGGGAGCGCTGTTTATGGCCTCACGTGTGGCATCGTCCTTGCGGATGGTGCAATCTCCTGTGCTACCTGTGACATTGTCCTTCTGGCGAGCCATCTCCAGCACCGCCTCTTGCACTGTCCTGACTGTGAGCAGCATCTTTTGTCGTGCCACTGGCACTGTCTATCTGGAGAGCACCATCTCCTGCACCGCTTCTGTTTAACCGTTCTGATTATCGCTTTTGGCAATGCCTCCTCTGGCATAGTCCATTGCCTAAGTGCACTCGGCACCATCCTCGGCACCATCCTCGGCACCATCCTCGGCACCATCCTCGGCACCATCCTCGGCACCATCCTCGGCACCATCCTCGGCACCATCCTCGGCACCATCCTCGGCACCATCCTCGGCACCATCCTCGGCACCATCCTCGGCACCATCGTGGGAGCTCCTTTCGCTGCATCTTGTCAGCATCATCCACCAGACGAGCGCCGCTTTCTGTTTCTCCAGCAATGTCTGTTGGCAGACTGCTCTCTTCAGCACCGCCCGTCATGGGAGCAACCCTCTCCAGTGCCTTCACCAGTGTCGCCTGTCACAGGAGCGCCCTCTCCATTGGCATCTCCACCATCATCCTCCACGGCAGTACCCGCTCCATTTTCCTCTCAAGCTACGTCTGCAGACGTGTCCAATGCTTGTGCTTTTCCAGCGTCGCCTGTGGTGGTTCGCTGTCTTTTTAGGCTTCTCCAGTGTCATCCTTCATGGGAGCACCCTCTTGATTGCCCTCTTCAGCATTCTCCATCGTGTGATCGCCCTCTCCGTTGCCATCTCCAGCGCCATGCGTTGCAGGCGCACTCTCTTGGTTGAGCTCTCCAGCACCATGTGTCATGGTTGCTCTGTCTTCATTGCCTTCCCTTCGAGTGTGCACCGTTCCTGGCACCACCCTTTGCGTCGTTCTTCTGGTGAGCACCGCCTCTAGCATAGTCCTTACTATGAGCAGCACCTTCTGTAGTGTTGCTAGCATCGTGTATGTGGTGAGCACCGTCTCCAGCACCACCTCTGCTTTAATCTTTATGAATAGCGCTTCCTGGAGCACTGCCTCTGGCATCGTCCATTCGCAAAGGGCCTTCTCCAACAACATCTACAGCACCATCCGTTGGGGGAGCTCCTTTTTGTGCAGCTTGTCAGCATCATCCACCAGATGAGCACTGCTTTCTGTTTCGCTAGCACTGTCCCTAGGCAGACTGCCCTTTCCAGCATCACCTGTCCCGGGAGAAAGCGTCTCCAGCATAGCCCATCGTGAGACCAACCTCTCAGTTGCCCTTTATAGCATCTTCTCTCATGGGAGAGCACTCTCGTTCGGATTCTCCAATTTCATCCATCATTCGCGCACCCTTTTCTTTCTGCTTATCCAGCAGCCACATTCATGGGAGCACCCCCACCTTACGCTTCTCCTTTGTCGCCTGTCGTGGGAGCAGAGCCTCATGCTACTTTTTCAGCTTCCTCTGCCATTGAAAGACCACATCCTGCTGCTTCCTCAGCTTTGTTCACAGGGAACATTATGCGCCGCCCTGCTTCAGCAGCACTGCCTGTCTCAGGTGCCCTATCACTTACACTGTACTTCCGGAGTACGCCCTGTCAGGCACCGCCTCTAGCATCGTCGTTCTGATCTGTGCCATCTCCTGCACTACCTCTTGCCTTGTCCTTCCGGTGAGCACCGTCTACGGTTTTGCCTTCAGCATTATCCTTCCAGTGAGCACCATCTCCGGTGCCGCCCCTTGCTTTGTCCTCCTGGTAAGCGCCATCAGCAGAGCCACCAGTCCCAGAAGCGCTCAGGGCAGCGTGGATTGTTGCGGGAGCGCTGTTTATGGCCTCACGTGTGGCATCGTCCTTGCGGATGGTGCAATCTCCAGTGCTACCTGTGACATTGTCCTTCTGGCGAGCCATCTCCAGCACCGCCTCTTGCACTGTCCTGACTGTGAGCAGCATCTTTTGTCGTGCCACTGGCACTGTCTATCTGGAGAGCACCATCTCCTGCACCGCTTCTGTTTAACCGTTCTGATTATCGCTTTTGGCAATGCCTCCTCTGGCATAGTCCATTGCCTAAGTGCACTCGGCACCATCCTCGGCACCATCCTCGGCACCATCCTCGGCACCATCCTCGGCACCATCCTCGGCACCATCCTCGGCACCATCCTCGGCACCATCCTCGGCACCATCCTCGGCACCATCCTCGGCACCATCCTCGGCACCATCCTCGGCATCGTGGGAGCTCCTTTCGCTGCATCTTGTCAGCATCATCCACCAGACGAGCGCCGCTTTCTGTTTCTCCAGCAATGTCTGTTGGCAGACTGCTCTCTTCAGCACCGCCCGTCATGGGAGCAACCCTCTCCAGTGCCTTCACCAGTGTCGCCTGTCACAGGAGCGCCCTCTCCATTGGCATCTCCACCATCATCCTCCACGGCAGTACCCGCTCCATTTTCCTCTCAAGCTACGTCTGCAGACGTGTCCAATGCTTGTGCTTTTCCAGCGTCGCCTGTGGTGGTTCGCTGTCTTTTTAGGCTTCTCCAGTGTCATCCTTCATGGGAGCACCCTCTTGATTGCCCTCTTCAGCATTCTCCATCGTGTGATCGCCCTCTCCGTTGCCATCTCCAGCGCCATGCGTTGCAGGCGCACTCTCTTGGTTGAGCTCTCCAGCACCATGTGTCATGGTTGCTCTGTCTTCATTGCCTTCCCTTCGAGTGTGCACCGTTCCTGGCACCACCCTTTGCGTCGTTCTTCTGGTGAGCACCGCCTCTAGCATAGTCCTTACTATGAGCAGCACCTTCTGTAGTGTTGCTAGCATCGTGTATGTGGTGAGCACCGTCTCCAGCACCACCTCTGCTTTAATCTTTATGAATAGCGCTTCCTGGAGCACTGCCTCTGGCATCGTCCATTCGCAAAGGGCCTTCTCCAACAACATCTACAGCACCATCCGTTGGGGGAGCTCCTTTTTGTGCAGCTTGTCAGCATCATCCACCAGATGAGCACTGCTTTCTGTTTCGCTAGCACTGTCCCTAGGCAGACTGCCCTTTCCAGCATCACCTGTCCCGGGAGAAAGCGTCTCCAGCATAGCCCATCGTGAGACCAACCTCTCAGTTGCCCTTTATAGCATCTTCTCTCATGGGAGAGCACTCTCGTTCGGATTCTCCAATTTCATCCATCATTCGCGCACCCTTTTCTTTCTGCTTATCCAGCAGCCACATTCATGGGAGCACCCCCACCTTACGCTTCTCCTTTGTCGCCTGTCGTGGGAGCAGAGCCTCATGCTACTTTTTCAGCTTCCTCTGCCATTGAAAGACCACATCCTGCTGCTTCCTCAGCTTTGTTCACAGGGAACATTATGCGCCGCCCTGCTTCAGCAGCACTGCCTGTCTCAGGTGCCCTATCACTTACACTGTACTTCCGGAGTACGCCCTGTCAGGCACCGCCTCTAGCATCGTCGTTCTGATCTGTGCCATCTCCTGCACTACCTCTTGCCTTGTCCTTCCGGTGAGCACCGTCTACGGTTTTGCCTTCAGCATTATCCTTCCAGTGAGCACCATCTCCGGTGCCGCCCCTTGCTTTGTCCTCCTGGTAAGCGCCATCAGCAGAGCCACCAGTCCCAGAAGCGCCCAGGGCAGCGTGGATTGTTGCGGGAGCGCTGTTTATGGCCTCACGTGTGGCATCGTCCTTGTGGATGGTGCAATCTCCTGTGCTACCTGTGACATTGTCCTTCTGGCGAGCCATCTCCAGCACCGCCTCTTGCACTGTCCTGACTGTGAGCAGCATCTTTTGTCGTGCCACTGGCACTGTCTATCTGGAGAGCACCATCTCCTGCACCGCTTCTGTTTAACCGTTCTGATTATCGCTTTTGGCAATGCCTCCTCTGGCATAGTCCATTGCCTAAGTGCACTCGGCACCATCCTCGGCACCATCCTCGGCACCATCCTCGGCACCATCCTCGGCACCATCCTCGGCACCATCCTCGGCACCATCCTCGGCACCATCCTCGGCACCATCCTCGGCACCATCCTCGGCACCATCCATCGTGGGAGCTCCTTTCGCTGCATCTTGTCAGCATCATCCACCAGACGAGCGCCGCTTTCTGTTTCTCCAGCAATGTCTGTTGGCAGACTGCTCTCTTCAGCACCGCCCGTCATGGGAGCAACCCTCTCCAGTGCCTTCACCAGTGTCGCCTGTCACAGGAGCGCCCTCTCCATTGGCATCTCCACCATCATCCTCCACGGCAGTACCCGCTCCATTTTCCTCTCAAGCTACGTCTACAGACGTGTCCAATGCTTGTGCTTTTCCAGCGTCGCCTGTGGTGGTTCGCTGTCTTTTTAGGCTTCTCCAGTGTCATCCTTCATGGGAGCACCCTCTTGATTGCCCTCTTCAGCATTCTCCATCGTGTGATCGCCCTCTCCGTTGCCATCTCCAGCGCCATGCGTTGCAGGCGCACTCTCTTGGTTGAGCTCTCCAGCACCATGTGTCATGGTTGCTCTGTCTTCATTGCCTTCCCTTCGAGTGTGCACCGTTCCTGGCACCACCCTTTGCGTCGTTCTTCTGGTGAGCACCGCCTCTAGCATAGTCCTTACTATGAGCAGCACCTTCTGTAGTGTTGCTAGCATCGTGTATGTGGTGAGCACCGTCTCCAGCACCACCTCTGCTTTAATCTTTATGAATAGCGCTTCCTGGAGCACTGCCTCTGGCATCGTCCATTCGCAAAGGGCCTTCTCCAACAACATCTACAGCACCATCCGTTGGGGGAGCTCCTTTTTGTGCAGCTTGTCAGCATCATCCACCAGATGAGCACTGCTTTCTGTTTCGCTAGCACTGTCCCTAGGCAGACTGCCCTTTCCAGCATCACCTGTCCCGGGAGAAAGCGTCTCCAGCATAGCCCATCGTGAGACCAACCTCTCAGTTGCCCTTTATAGCATCTTCTCTCATGGGAGAGCACTCTCGTTCGGATTCTCCAATTTCATCCATCATTCGCGCACCCTTTTCTTTCTGCTTATCCAGCAGCCACATTCATGGGAGCACCCCCACCTTACGCTTCTCCTTTGTCGCCTGTCGTGGGAGCAGAGCCTCATGCTACTTTTTCAGCTTCCTCTGCCATTGAAAGACCACATCCTGCTGCTTCCTCAGCTTTGTTCACAGGGAACATTATGCGCCGCCCTGCTTCAGCAGCACTGCCTGTCTCAGGTGCCCTATCACTTACACTGTACTTCCGGAGTACGCCCTGTCAGGCACCGCCTCTAGCATCGTCGTTCTGATCTGTGCCATCTCCTGCACTACCTCTTGCCTTGTCCTTCCGGTGAGCACCGTCTACGGTTTTGCCTTCAGCATTATCCTTCCAGTGAGCACCATCTCCGGTGCCGCCCCTTGCTTTGTCCTCCTGGTAAGCGCCATCAGCAGAGCCACCAGTCCCAGAAGCGCCCAGGGCAGCGTGGATTGTTGCGGGAGCGCTGTTTATGGCCTCACGTGTGGCATCGTCCTTGTGGATGGTGCAATCTCCTGTGCTACCTGTGACATTGTCCTTCTGGCGAGCCATCTCCAGCACCGCCTCTTGCACTGTCCTGACTGTGAGCAGCATCTTTTGTCGTGCCACTGGCACTGTCTATCTGGAGAGCACCATCTCCTGCACCGCTTCTGTTTAACCGTTCTCATTATCGCTTTTGGCAATGCCTCCTCTGGCATAGTCCATTGCCTAAGTGCACTCGGCACCATCCTCGGCACCATCCTCGGCACCATCCTCGGCACCATCCTCGGCACCATCCTCGGCACCATCCTCGGCACCATCCTCGGCACCATCCTATCGTGGGAGCTCCTTTCGCTGCATCTTGTCAGCATCATCCACCAGACGAGCGCCGCTTTCTGTTTCTCCAGCAATGTCTGTTGGCAGACTGCTCTCTTCAGCACCGCCCGTCATGGGAGCAACCCTCTCCAGTGCCTTCACCAGTGTCGCCTGTCACAGGAGCGCCCTCTCCATTGGCATCTCCACCATCATCCTCCACGGCAGTACCCGCTCCATTTTCCTCTCAAGCTACGTCTACAGACGTGTCCAATGCTTGTGCTTTTCCAGCGTCGCCTGTGGTGGTTCGCTGTCTTTTTAGGCTTCTCCAGTGTCATCCTTCATGGGAGCACCCTCTTGATTGCCCTCTTCAGCATTCTCCATCGTGTGATCGCCCTCTCCGTTGCCATCTCCAGCGCCATGCGTTGCAGGCGCACTCTCTTGGTTGAGCTCTCCAGCACCATGTGTCATGGTTGCTCTGTCTTCATTGCCTTCCCTTCGAGTGTGCACCGTTCCTGGCACCACCCTTTGCGTCGTTCTTCTGGTGAGCACCGCCTCTAGCATAGTCCTTACTATGAGCAGCACCTTCTGTAGTGTTGCTA